CCTATTTGCGAAGGCCTTGCGGCCGGCACCGTCGGCCCTGAAGGGGGACGACGACGACGACGACGACGGCGTCTCGCACACGCCGGCAGGGTCGGCCGATTCTTTGACGGACCCACGGCGCACATGCACTTCCTACACGCCCTCCGACGCGATCGGTCTCGAGTAGCCAGAGGTCTTCTGGGTCTTCAGAGGCCTCTGGAGGTCCCTTGAGGTCTCTGGAAGCTGCTGCAGGCTCTCGGAGGTTTCCAGGGGCCGGTCGTTCGTCGTGCGCACAATCGGCCCGGCATTTGGTATTGTTGAGCGCCTCGGGTGCCGTGGGAGTTTTCTATCCAGGGCGAGGTCCTCATTCCAGGCCGAGCCGAGGGCTCTCGTGACTGCTGTACAATTCGTGGACGGCTTGCGTCTCGCAGCTCCACAGGTGCGTGGCAAACGAGCGAGGTTATCTTGATAGTTTTACAGACAGTGGCGACTCGATGAGGAACTCTTGCGGCAAACAAGAAGTCCAAGAGCGTGCAGAGACCTCCGAACACCTACCTCGACTGATGATGTTCCAACATACTGTAGCCTGGATCACCCGCAAGAACTTGGAGCACCAAGAGAGTGCCGAAACTGGACGGTTTACACGCGTCGGGCCCTGGGAGGCGATACTCGTTCGACACTGTCTTGATACTTTTCTGGGCGCTCGAAATTATTTCTGGGACATGGTCCTTAAGTACGATGGGCGCAGTATTTGTTGCGTATTTTCTAATTTTCGTCCAAAATCCGCCTGTAGGAGGACACGCCCGACCTAATTCTTCGCCCCCGTGACCCCTGCCCGCTTCCCGGACGCCTCCAGGGGTGCGCTCTGACCAGTATCTCGAGAGGACCCCCGCCCCCTCCCAAGAGGGAGAGAGAGAGGCACCCGAAGATCTCGGCCCTCGATCCCCAGTGCTCGAGACCCCGACCCCCGACGATCTTCGCCCTCTCCTCGCCCTGGGGATAGGTCGGGCATGTCCTCCTCCAGGCGGCTTGTGGACGAAAACTTAAACACGGTCAACGCATACCTTCAAACAGTGTGCACACACACACACACACTAACAGTTCGTCCCCAGACTGCTTTGTGGCTACTCTTGACTCTCCCTCCCGTGGAGGCACGTGCCCGACCTCACCCCTGGGGCCCCCGGCCCCGGCGCCCCGGCCCCCCGCCGGCGCCCGAGGCGATGGCTCGCAGCCCGCGGCGCCGCTGGACATCCCCGACGGGGCAGACCGGGCCGTGGTGGAGGCCTCCAGGCCGTGGCGGGGCGAGAAGCGGCACCGGTCGGGCGTGCCCCTCTGCTGCAGGAGGGACCATGCAGAAAGAGTCAAACAAATAGTCTGGGGGCGATGTCTGGATTCTTTTCGGCTGTCTTTGGGGCGTTGTTTCTGGCTCTTTTGTGAACTGTTCTTCCAAGATCCGCCTGTAGGGGGACGTGCCCGACCTGACACCAACTGGAGCCGTCTCAGGGTCCGAGGTGGCCCAGCACATGGCTCTGGCCAGCAGGCAGGGCGGGCAGGTCCGAGGTGCCCGGTTCGGGAAGGCCTCTTTTTTTCCTGCTTGTGCCCTGGCTCGGCCTCGGGGGCCCGTTTTCGTGCTCCGAGAGTCAAGAAAGGATGCGGGGTGAAAAAGCTGCGCGCCAGGTAGACCGATAGGGATCTTGAGCGAACGTGGCCTCATCCCTATTGGAGAGGCCTGACGGCCGGTGCCGCCGACCCTGATCGAAAGGGCTAGGAGTGGGGAGGAGGAAGCGGAGGAGGAGGAAGAGGAGGAGGAGGAGGAGGAGGAGGAGGAGGAGGAGGGAGAGGAGGAGGAGGAGGAGGAGGAGCAGGAGGAGGAGGAGGAGGAGGAGGAGGAGGAGGAGGAGGAGGAGGAGGAGGAGGAAGAGGAGGAGGAGAGGAGGAGGTGGATCAGCGACTGGTCCTGTTCCGTGTGGGACCGGCGCGCTCCGTCGCCAGATCGGGCGGCACTGGCCTCGTGCTTCGGGGGGTGCTCCTCCCCGATCCGTGGAGATCCGGCGCCCGTGCGCCAGTGCACGGATGCCTCATCCCTGGCGTGTGCCCGGCTCCTCCAGCGAGGAGGTCCACGACTAGGGGAACAACAAAAAGTGACATAAACATTAAAAACTCGGAGGTCCGCGCGGATTTCTCGGATCGGCGCTGGACCCCCCCTCCCTGGCGCGCGGAGCGCGACAGGGGCGGCGCCGGAGGCGCCGCCGGGGGGCCCCAGCGCCGATCCGAGAAATCCGCGCGGAGCTCCGAGTTTTTATGTTTACGCCGCTTTTTGTTCCCCTAACTACGCCTCCGCTCAGGGGCAACGATCAGAGGTGACAGGCTCAGGTCAAAACATACATAGTATGGGTAATATTTTGTTTAGATTTTTGTTTGTTGTTTTTTGTTTAATTGTGGAGCACTTTTTGAATACTTTTTTATTTTTCGACGAAATGGGGTAGTGCCGAGACTTCCCTTTGAATGCAGGGCTTGTTTGAGGCGCAAAACAAATGAAGTAGGTTTAGAGTAGCTCCTGAAGTAGGTCGGCGAAGTAGGTCTGCAGCGCGCCTGGCAACAGTGGTCGGCGCAGGTAGCTCGAAGGGAAAGGATGGCGAAACCGTTTGCCGCGAGAAACTTTCAGGGGAAAGGAATGCGACATTCATGTGCAAAAGTAGCTTTCCAGGGAAGGTTGTCGGGAACACAATATCAAAAGTAACTTGTCGGGATCGGGTCAGTAATGACATTTTCCAAACAAGCTTCTCGGGGAAATGCTGGAATGCCGCCGGCAAGGCGCGGCTTCTGCTAGCAAGCCAGCCGAGTAATTCGTGAAGTGCGCTGTCTTGGGTTCTTCTGGACTCCTTCGGGGCTTATCTTCAGGCTTCCAAAGTCTTCGGAAGCGCATGGGCCAAAAGACCCAATTCATTCGTGTCTCGTACGATTTGGAAAGATTTCGGCTTCTCGGGGGTGTTCTTGGGTGGCTCCGCGGCCACTTGGGGCGGTCTCGGAACGGTATTTGGGTTTCTTGGAACATGCGGGAAACAATGTTGACCCATCTTGGGCTATCTTGAACCATCTGTGGGACCGCGTTGCATTCTGCGAGGTCATGCTGGCTCTATCTTTGACCGTCTCGGGCGCTCCAGCGACCCGCCGCCCCCCACTGCAGACCCCGGAAGGAGGGGGGGGAGGGGTGCATCCATCCCCGAAGGGAAGACTGGGGGTTGTTGGAACAGGAAGCGCTCTAAACCACTTCCGTCCTGAGATCTGGGGGCATTGCGTTTCCCCCTTGGTCTGACCACAGCGGGAAGTGGGGCATGGAGGGCGGGGCGAGGGCCGCGGGCCCGAGCAAGGGAGAGGGGGGGGGGCGAGAGGGAGGACCAGGAAGGTTAAGAAGGTCAGAAACGGGAGGGGGGGGGGCTCCAGAAGGCGGGTAGGGGGGAGGTGGCGTTTCCGGGGGGAGGAGGTGGAGGGAGGCTGGAATAATGAGGGCGCGTGAAAGAGGAGAGGAGGTGGAGAGAGGTGGGAGGAGGAAAGAGAAACGGAAGGGGAGTGGCGCCTCCGTCGGGCCGGGCCCGGAGGGGCCCCGGGGGGCGGGGGGCGGCCGCATCAGGTTTGGTTTCTGAAGAACCTAGGGCGCCAGGCGGCGGCCCCCTGCCCGCCAGCGGGGGGGCCGCCAAAAGGCCGTGTCCTGTCGCGGTGCGTTCGCTTGTCGCCCGACAGCGAAATCGCGCGCTCGATCCTCGACCCTCGGGGGGGGGGGAAGACCGCCCCCTTTGGGGGGCTCCCGCCTGTCGGGGGCAACCTACAAGTGTTTTGGGTTTGTTCACCTTCTGGGGGTACTTCGCAGATTCCTTTTTTGGCGCGCCACCCCCGGGGGCGACTTCTGGGAAAGGCTCGGGCAAGCGTGTGCTGATGTTCCAAGGAACCGCGCCCCCAAAGTAGGTCGGAAAGTAGGTTTGCAGAATTTGTTTTTGCAAAGTAGGTTCCAAAGAAGGTTTCCGGACTCCAAAAGTAGGTTGTCGGTAGCGCAAAGTAGGTTTCGGAGGCCTCAAAGTAGGTTTTAGGAGCCTCAAGGTAGGTTTCGGAGGCCTCAAAGTAGGTTTCAAACCTAGTTCAAACCTACTTCAAACCTACTTCAAACCTACTTCACACCTTCTTCAAACCTACTTCAAACCTATTTCAAGCCTACTTCAAATTGTTTTCGGAAGCATGGAGGGCCAGGGATTGAAGGTAGGAGGAGGAGGAGGTGGAGGAGAATGTGGGGGAGGCAGAGGGGGGGGAAAGAGGAATGGAAGAGGAGGAGGAGGAGGAGGTGGATGAGGAGAGCCGGGAGGAGGATGTGGAGGAGGAAGAAGAGGAGGAAGAGGAGGAGGAGGAGGAGGAAAGCCAGGTCGAGGAAACGGAGGGCCAGGAGGAAGGAGGAACAGGAGAGAGGAGTAGGAGGAGGAGGGCCAAGAGGATCTGGAGGATCGGGTGGAGGATGAGGGGCGGATGAAGGGAGGATGAGGGAGAAAAGGTAGGAACAAGAGGGGGATAGAGGAGGAGGATGAGGAGGAGGAGGAGGAGGAGGAGGAGGAGGAGGAGGAGTAGGAGGAGGAGGGAGGAGGAGGAGGAGGAGGAGGAGGAGGAGGCGGAGGAGGAGGAGGTAGGAGCAGGAGGAGGAGGAGGAGGAGGAGGAGGAGGAGGAGGAGGAGGGGGGGGCGGGGAGGGCGGGGAGGATCGGGGGCAGGAGGATGAGAACATGGATGCTGCGGCTGATGAGGGAGAGGATGGTGAGGCAAGGGGGGCGATGATGGGAAGCATGATGTGATTGATGACGAGTGGCTTTGGGGAGGGCAGAATGACCTTGGGCGGGGCGGCCGTGATAATGAGGAGGAGCCGTCCGAACCCCGCTGGGACACGGTATGGGGGTTTTGCTGGGGTGGTGATTGTTGGCGGCGGCCCAGCTTGTCCAGGATTCCTCGAATTGCGTTGTTCACCGTGCCAGTTGCTGGGGCTGTCCCGATTGATTTTTGGGTCACCCATTGTCGTGACTGCTTTTCTGGCGGGTCGTGTTTGCGGAGGTCTTTCTATGTTTAGTGCCCGAGGGTGCAGCGCGCGAAAAGTGTCGCGGCCCCTGCCTGAAACGCAGCCCTGGCGCCCTTTCCATTGCAAACCTTCTTGGCGAGGTTACCGCGGCCAGGGAACGTCCCCGGGTGCACTTGCCAGGGCTACTTTGGCGGATTCGCTTCGCCAACTTAGCTGCCCGCGGCATTTGCGCCGACGCGCTCTGGCAAACCCAGTAACGGGAGGCTATATGCCCGATGACACGTTTTCCCCGCGCGTTGCACCTTCTTCCTGGAACCTACTATGCTTGCGAACTTATCTCCCGAACCTACTTTTGGACCTATCTAAAACCTATATCGAAATGTTTTCTGCTCGCCACTGCCCTGCATTGCTGGGGGAGTCTCGGGGGTAGTGCGTCGACCACCAAGCGCTCGCTCGTCGCCGATAACAGGGGGCCCGGTGGCCCGCCCCGCCAGGGATCAACAGCGGCGTCTCCATTTTGGGTGCCTATTTGCCGATCTGTCGGCGAGGGGGCCCTTGCCTCCTCCTCCTCCTCCTCCTCCTCCTCCTCGTGGAGTACTACAAGCTCGAGATGAATTTCGCCAGGCGCGCGTCGGCCTACATTGGTTGGGTGATGCAGCGTACCATGCGTATTGGCAAGTGGGAGCCTGAGTGCCAAGATGTGATACCCGAGCCAGTGGGGACGCGCATCATGCCTGTGCAGGTGACCTCGCATGAGGTTGCGAAAGTATCGGGTGGCTCTTTCGTATGCAGACAATGTGCCAGACGCACAGCCGGCAACTCAAAGGTGTCCTGGAACCTAGTTCTAAGAGCGCCGTGTCAGCCGTCGCGCCTCGACGCTCTAAGGGCTGAGGCTATGGTGGAATTCGGTGGCGGCGCAGCATTTCAGGTCTCCGAGACGGGCAGGTTCGTGATGGAGGCGCTGGACGCGGTTGTCATTCCCCAGGACGCTGGCGACGTTGGCGAAGCTCTAGTGTCTGAGTGGGCAGGAGCTGAAGTCATTCAATGCAATGGGCATCGCCTCCGACGTGCAGGGCCTACGGTGTTCTGCGAGGTCTGTGTTGCCTGGTCAGCGGGAGGTGTATCCAAGCAATTACTGGCGGAGTGTTGTGGTATACCCAGTGGCGAAGGTAAGGGCAAAACGTTCCTCTCGAATATTGTCCCGAGGAGAAGGCGCTTGTTGAAGGGTATGCATCCCAAGGACAACGTCAAGCTCACCTTGCCCGCTGTTCCCCAAGGAGGGTTGGCAAACATATCTACTGCGGCGGCCTGATGGACGTCTTCTGTGTGTAGGCAGTGGCCCCAGGAGAGCGACCCGTGAGGGTGTTCTGGCCAGTCGTTGGTGACGACTGCGCTTGCCTCTCCGAAGGCCAGTTTTCTGGCCCAATGGGCTTGAGGGGAGCGACCCGAGAGGGTGTTCTGGCCAGCTGAACTGTCTGTGACTGCTGCGCTTGCCCTCCCGAAGGTCTGGGAGCATGAGAGCGACCCGAGAGGGTGTTCTGGCCACTTGTTGGTGACAGGTGCGCTTGCCTCTCATGGTTCCTTCCCCAGCAGAAGCGGCCCGTGAGGGTGCTCTGGCCACCTGTTGGTGACAGGTGCGCTTGCTTTCTGCTGGGATCGGGCCTTGGACATCGGTTTCACGCTACTATGATGTGGGGGCGGGCTGCCCCTGTGACGTTTGGTTGGTGGGCACTGCCTGGATGGAGTTTTTGTGGCTACCTTCGCTGGCGTTGGTTGGCGAGACGGTGGTCGCGCCCACTGGGAAGTGAGAGCTGATGGCCTGTCTGGCCCTTCTGGGGGCAGGCCCTACTGGATGATGGTGCTGCTTCGATGGCCCGTCTGGCCCAGCCTGGGGAAGGGCCACAGTGAGGGTCTCAGTGGCGTCTGTGGATCTGTGAGGACACGGACGTCGTCCTCGTTTTCGTGCCGACGGTGTTTGATCGTTGGTCATGTTTTTGGCTGCGGGTCCTCAGTCACCGTGCGAGGATCGGCAGCCGCTACAAATTGCCCGCGGATCCCCAAGGGAGAGCGGGCGTGTTGTCGACGGCTTTTTGGACGGCTTGTCTGGCCCTTCCTCGGCGACGCCTCTTTCGTGGCAGCCATGTTCTACCCTCGTGGTGGGCATCGGCTTCTTTATTGCCCGCGTGGCTCCCCTCCTGGGAGAGCGGGAGCGCCGCCGTCTGCTACGCTGATGGCCCGTCTGGCCCCTCCTGGGGGCGGGCCCACGCTGGAGCTGGTGGCGGGCGCCTTCACCGTCGTCGCCTGAGGACGCGGCCGCCTTGGCCGTCTCGCCTGCTGTTCGTCTCGACGGACGGCTGCGCCAGGCCTCGTCCCTCGTCCCTCCTGCTCCTCCTCCTCCTCCTCCTCCTCCTCCTCCTCCTCCTCCTCCTCCTCCTCCTCCCCCTCTTCCCCTTCTCCTCCTCCTCCTCCTCCTCCTCCTGTTCCTCCTCTCGGGCTGTCTAGTCCAATCCGCGCTGGCGCCGATTGTTTGTCGCAGCGAATCACGGCAGGAACCATGAGTGTCCTTGCCAGCCCACGCGTCCTTCAGGATGCATGGCCTTCTTGCTTGCTTGCTTGGGGTCGTTGCAGGCCAGCCTCCTCCAGCGAGGATCAGGAGGATTGACATGGGGACGGGAAGACCAGGGACGAGGACCAGCAGCAATTCTTGCCCTTTCTAGACAGGATTCGCTGTCGTTGTCGCCGCGGACGTCCACTCGAGACGCAAACTTGCCTGCCCAACAGACGCCGCTGTTTTTGGGCCACATTTGTTCTTGGGCATCGTGTAATTTGTTTTCCGTAAACGTTTTGGCCGTGCCAAGGAGAAGTCTGGGATGCTTTCCCGCGCTTAGAAATTGGGACGCCTCCAGCGGGACGCAGCGAAACGGGGGGACCACGCCACCAGGAGGACACACTGTGGTGGTGTCGGTTTTGCTTGCTCCCATCCAGGGGGCAGATCCGCGAGTGGCTCGCGTCGACCACGAAGCAGCCGCTGGAAATCCCCATGGAGACTGCCTTGACGTCGTCGTCGTCGGCGGCGGCGGCGGCGGCGTCGGCGTCGGCGTTGGCGTCGGCGTCGTCGTCGTCGTCGGCGTCGTCGTCGGCCGGCGTCGTCGTCGTCGTCGTCGTCGTCGTCGTCGACATCGTCCGCCTGCTCCTCCTCTCATGTACATGCCCTTAAGCTTTCGGGCTGACGTTCGAGGACCGCCCATGAGTGCTCGGGATGGGTCGGCAAGCGGTCCAGCGAGCGTCGGCCGTCACGGAGGACTCCGAATTTGAGGAGGGTTCGGACGAGAGTGGCCAGTTTTTCTTGGGTCAGCCTTCAGGGCCAACCCAAGCCAACCCACGCCTCCTCGTTACCTCTCCCTCCCCCAAGCCTGTCTCTCCGGCCGCTCCCGTTTCTCCCGCCCCACCCCTCCCGACCCTTTGGCATCGCCCGTGCGCGTGCACTGTTTCTTTGCGAAGACCGCCGAGGAGCATCCTGGACCCTCTCGCGGCGCTTCTGGGACGACTTTGGGCCTCCTGCAGCCTCCGGAGGCCTCTGTTAGGGGAACGAACAACGGTACAAACATAAATGAAAACTCGGAGGTCCGCGCGGACCTCCGAGTTTTTTTGTAAGTTCATGCCATGTTTCGTTCCCGTATCTGCGGGCCTCCAGGGACGTCCGGGGACCTCCCGCGCGCCAGGCCCTTCCACGGCTCCGCCGCCACTTTTTTTTTTTTTTTTTTTTTTTTTTTTTTTTTTTTTTTTTTTTGTTTTGTTTTGTTTGTTTTTTACTACAGATGTCGGGCCCGGGCATCGTTTTCCCTTTGTTTTTTTTCGGGGTTTCGGCGACCCGGGTCCAACAGGGCCCCAAGAGGCTGCAGGGAGGCCCCAGGAGGCCGCAGCGATGGTTCCAGACGCCTTCAAGACGATTCCCATGACGCCAAGAAGGCCCCCGAAGGCCCCGAGGACGCCCCAAGAGGCACCCCGAGAGAAGCCCAATAAGCAAACATCGTCGATTCCCTATAGGAGAGCTAATACTTTTGGCGTGTTCGCCTTTTGGGATTCCACTGCGCCCAAGATGGCCAAAGAGGCACCCAAGACGGTCGAGGATGCCCTTGAGAGGGCTCCAAGACGGCCCACGAGGGGGCCAAGACGGCCCACAAGACGCCTAAACCGCTTTTAAGAACGCCCCAAATCGGCGCCCAAGAGGCCTTTGCGGGGAGCCTCCACAGCGCCCCAGGAGGGCCGAAGACGCCTCCCAGGAGCCCCCAGAATAATGCGAAAGGATGGTCCAAGACGTTCCCAAGCAGCCCAAGTCAGCCTTCCGACGGCTCTCGAGGCTCCCAGGTGGCCTCCAAGAGACCCCAAGAGAGGTCCGAGAGGCGTCCCGCTCCTTTGGAAGCGGCAGTCCACGCCGTGAAGCCACGGCTCCGCCGTGACGCAGGGAGAGAGAAGGGGGGTTCGGAGGAGATCTCGGTGGTTTGTGCACAGCCCCTCCTAAAGAGAGCCTTGACAGGTCGATTCAGCCGCCCCCCCTCCCCCGCCCCGCGGCAGAGTTGACTCTCTGCCGGGCCGCTGCCTCACCGGGGGCTTCGACACAGCCTGGACGGTGGGAGGGAGGGGGCCGTTGCGAGAGGATGATCCTGTGACCGCACAGTCCCGCGAATGATCCGATGCGACCCCCAAGCGTTCCCCGACGCCCGTTGCCAACTCTCCCCGGCCCAGAGTTCTGAGCCCTTTGCCTGGGCAGGTCGGATGGGGCTAGCACGAGGATACGTTCTCAGAGCGTTCCGGACGGCTCTGAGAATGCCGCGGCGCCCGAGACATCCTCCAGAGCCGCGGGATCTCAGAGATTATCGATTTATCCTCACCCGATTTTGTCCTCGTCCTGGCTTCGTCTTGGCAGGAGAATGCCTTCCAGCGGCTGCTCATGCACACCGTCATCGCCCAGGAGACCGCAGCCCGAGGTGCAGCAGCGACAGGTAGGAGAGAGAGAGTGCTGTTGGCCGCCTCTGTCCGCCATTCTCCCCTGCCGTATGCTCCCCTGCTCCCTCTTGCCTCCGCTCCCGTCTCCTTCGGTTCCTCCCTCCTCCCTCCTTCCTCCTTCCTCCTCCCTCCTCCTTCCTCTCCCTCCTCCCTCCTCGCTCCTTCACTCGCCTCCACCCCCTGCACCCTCTCTCCTCCCTCCTTCCTCTCCTTGCCTTCGTGCGTCCTCCCTCTTCGCTCACTCCTTCCTTCCCTCCCTCCTTCTTACTCAGTCCCCACTTCTCCCTCCCTCCTCCCTCCCTCTTCTCTCCCTTCTCCCTGTCTGCCTCTGGGCTGCCCCTCACTGCAGGGCCCCTGAGGGATCGTCGATCGTCGTCGTCGTCGTCGTCGTCGCCGTCGTCGTCGCCGCTATGGAGGGGCATTTAGCTGGGGCCGCTGCTGTAGCGGGATGCGGACGTGGGATCGGGTTAGTCTGGGCTGAAGGGTCCGCCGGGCCTCTCTCCGCCCCCCCCTCTCCTCCTGCCCCCCTGGGAGGGTCCTGGTTCCCCAGCCCTGACCGCTGGTCTGCAGTGGTGCTTCGCGCGCGCTGTTCTGATGGCGCGGGCTGGGGGACAGAAGCCCCCGGCAGTTGAGTTGGGGAGGCTTTGCCGGCCCATTCCGTCCCTCACGGCTTCGGTTCCCTCCCGCGCTGCTTTTCAGAGGCTCCGTGGGTCGCCTGGGCCTGCCTGCTGGGAGGCACAGTGGTCGGTGTGGGGGGTAGCGCCTTCGCGGGATTCTTCCTCCCGCCTGGGCAGCCTCACTACAAGCCAGACGCATCCCTGCCCAAGGACGCGAAAGCTGCCCATTGGGCCACCCCGGCTAGACTTTCATCACTCCTCCCTCACTCCTCCCTCGCTCCTCCCATCTACCTCTCTGCTCACTCCTCCCTCCACTCCCCCTCTTCTTCCTCTCCACTCTCTTTTTCTCCTCGTCTTCCTCTCCCACTCCTCGTGCAATCTACCCGTCCCTAGTCCCCCTGCCTCCCGCCATGCTCCTGTCACTCCTCTTCCTTCTTTCTCCTGCCTCTTCCCTCCTCCTTCCTTCCAGGGGTTACGTTAGCGTGGGCAAAGAGACGTCGCCGGACTGAAGCACATGGATTGGAAGAACCAGTCTCGTTTTTGGTATCTATAGGGTGGCGGCTGGGAACGTCATGGGAATCGTCGTAACCGTGCTCTTTCTGACCAGCCCACGTGTTCCTCAGGATGCATGACCATCTTGCTTGCTTGCGTGCCGCTATCGCATTTCGCGGGTCCTGACACAAGGCAGCCTAAAACCAGTGTTCGCAACCTCGATGCCAATGACAAAGCGAACGCTGTACATGTATAGATATTTGAACATGCACTTCTATACCCGAATTTTTTATGTACGTATAAATATATGTATATATATGATTATTGAGATGTACGTATGTATGTATGTGGATGCATGCATGTATGTATGTGTGAGTATGTATGCATGTATGCATTTATGTATGTATGTGTGCATGCATGTATGTGTTCATGTGTGTACGTATGTATGTAATACGCGCGCATCGATGCATGTTTGTATGTATGCGAGTCTGACTTTCGGTCTATAAGCATGTGTGCATGCGCACATGTCTGCTGCATGCATGCATGCATGTTTGCATGCATGCATGTCAGTCTGTCCGTCTGTCTGCATGCATGTATATATGTATGTACGCATATATGCATGCATGTGTGTATGCGCGTATGTCTGTTTATATGTTAATGTTTGCTTGTTTGGTTGTTTGTGTGCATGCATGGATGCATGCATGTCTGCATGCATGCATGTCTGAATGCATGGTTGTGTGCATGTATGTCTGAATGTATGCATGCATGCCTGCATACATGCATGCATGTATGCATGTATGTATGCATGTATGTTTGTTTGCGTGAGTGTATGCACGCATGTATGCATGTGTGCGTGTGTATGTGTGTATGTCTGCATGCATGCATGCATGCATGTATGTGGCTATGCATGCATGCATACATTTATGCATGCTTGCATCTATAGGTGTATGCCTGCATGTATGCATGTATGCATGCATGCATGCATGTCAGTATGTGTACAAGTATGTGAGTATGTATACACACACGCAATCCTGTATGTATACATGTATGTATGCATGTACGTATACATGAGTGAATGCATGCGTGAATGTATGTGTTCTCTCTGTATGCATGCATGTATGCATGTGTGTTTGTGCATTTATGTATGCATATATGTAGGTATCTCTGTGTGCATGTATGCATTCATGTGTGTATGCATGTCTGCATGTTTGCATGTATGTGTATGTATGTTTATGTTTATGTATTTATGTATGCATGTTTATGCATGTAATACAATCGAATATCGTGTAACGTAGTGTAGTGCGATGTGATGTGATGTGATGTGATGTAATGTAACCATGTAGTGTAATGTAATGTGGTACAATGTAGTATAACATAATGTCATGCAATGTATTGTAATATAAGATAATGGAACGGAATGTAAATTAAATGGACTGTAGTGTAATTGGATGTAATGCAATGCAGTGTAATCGAACACCATGTAATGTGTGTATGCACGTATGTATGCATGTATGCATGTATGTATGTATGCCTGCCTGTCTGCTTGCGTTATACACAATTTTACATCTCTCTCTCTCTCTCTTCTGATACTTTTGCAAGCCCGGGGGGGCCCGTCCCCCGAAACCGGATCCCCGGATCCGTGGTCTCCGGGGGCCCCGTGGACGCCCTTGCAGGAGGCCCCCCAGGCTTCCTGGAGCTCCGAGAAGCCCCTTGCTGGGCCTGGGCATCGGGTCCAAATCGGTCAGGAGGACGGCCGAACAGCCCCCCGAGGGCCCCAAGAGAACCCAAACACCCAGCAGACGCCCGAAGTCGACCCGAAGAAGATCCCCAAGAGGCTTTCGAAACGAAGATTTTCAATGGTTTTTGTATGACTTTGGGACTGCTCTGTTCTTCGGTTTTCCTGGCCTCCGAAAACGTCCAGGAGGCCCCCAAATCGCCTCCAAACTATCCGAAGGGGCTTCCAGGCAGTTTAGGAGAGCCCCAAGACAATACAACTGGGTTCCAAGATGGCCCGAAGAGAGCCCCGTGACGGCTCAAGATGATCGCAAGACGCCCCCCGAAGCAATCCAAAACGTGACCCGGTCGTTCAGGGAGACCGCGGTTGGAAGCAGGATGGACCGAGAAAGCCCCGAGAGGCCCCCATCAAGGCGTCCAGGAGGCCTCCAGAAGGCCCCCCAAAGCCCTCACAAATTTTCGCCTCTCCAAGGAGGAGCCTCCGCAAAAAGAGCTGAAGAGCATGGGGAAGAGCTCGCAGGACTCGGCGAGCGTTATCACTCGCCGAGCCCCGTTGGTGCACTGCGTTCAGGCGGCGTCCATTGCGGGGCCTGCATGCTTTGGGTGCAGGTTGTTGCCATCGAAGCCCGCGTCGGGTTCGGCCCGGGAGCTTTGCGAAGTTCTGCTCCACTCGGCCCGTTGTTCTGTTGAACTGCCGTTGTCTCCACTGCTTTTCCTCCGATCCTCACCGAGGAGGTCTTGCAACATCGCAGGCCTGAAGGTTGACACCAACACCAATATCGGTGGTTTGCTTCCACCGAGGGATGGCGATCCCGATCTCGGTGATGGTGGTAACATTCTGGCTCCCAAGGTGACCGACATATTACCACCAACACCGACATCTAGGATCCTCTCCCCCCTGTGGAGGCGGCCCCCTGTCTTGGTGTTGGTGCCCACTTCCAGGCCTCCGACAACAGTCCTCAAGCTCGGGAGGCCCCGCGTCGGGCCTCTGGGGCTATATCAGCACAGCACCGCTCGTGCCCTGCGAGGTTTTTTCGGAAGAGCATCTCGTGCCCTCTCGGGCGCCCGCTCCGGGCCTCCGACGGCGTGGTCTCTTCCAGAGGTTGAGGAGGAGGAGGAGGAGGAGGAGAAGGAGGAGGAGGAGGAGGAGGAGGAGGAGGAGGAGGAGGGAGGAGGAGGAGGAGGAGGGAGGAGGAGGAGGAGGAGGAGGGAGGAGGGAGGAGCAGGGAGGAGGGAGAACGGAGGAGGGAGGGAGGAGGGGACGAGGGAGAAGGGAGGGGAGGACTCCCGAAGGGAGGAAACATGAGGGAATGATCATGGAGCACATAAGTGTAACGGCGATGTCGGGGAAGAAAAGGCAACAGGGCGTCATCGGTAAATTAATTGTTTTTTACCTTCCTGCCCTTCCGCCAGCATGCTAAACTTCAAGGACCACGGTGCATGGCGCGAAGCGCCAGTACAATCCTGTGCATATCTATATATATATATATATATAAAAGCATAGAATATTGATCGATGACGCCTACGCCGAATCACCGCCGTCCCCTGCGTTTTGGAATCGTCCATGTGGCCGAGCGTTGTGGCAAGAGCTTTGCCAAGCTATCAGACCATGTGTTCCCCCAGCCGTTGTGGAAACCCTTCGGGGAACACTTGGGGGAGGATGGCGGGGAAGATCAGAAGGATGAGGAGGAGGAGGGGGAGGAGGAGACGGAGGAGGAGGGAGGAGGAGAGGGAGGAGAAGGATGCGGAGGAGGAGGCGGAGGAGGAGGAAGAGGAGGAGGAAGCAGGAGGAGGAGGAGGAGGAAGAAGAGGAGGAGGAGGAGGAGGAGGAGGAGGATGAGGATCAGGAGAAAGAAGAAGAAGAGGAGGAGGAGGGAGGAGGAAAAGGAGGAGGATGAGGAGGAGGAGGAGGAGGAGGAGGAGGAGGGGGCATGATGAGAGCCTCTGGGGGCACTCTTGGGGGCTCCTGGGAGCTTCCTTGGAGCCTTGTGGAGGCATCTTGGGGTCCTCCTTGGGCTTCTCGGGGGCCTCTTTGCCCGTTTTAGGCCGTTCCTGGTCCGTCTGACGCCGTCGGAAGCCATCCTGGGGGCCTCTTTGGGCTAACCTGGGGCCCTCGTTAGGT